AATACAAAATTTGTCCACCTCATTCACTGAAAACATGATTTTAGGCAGGTACCAATACACACTGAATCATAATTATTTACCCTTCAAATTTCTTTTGTGAATTTATAGAAAAGCACGAGGTAAAATATTCATTCATGTTCTACTGCTTGTGTGTTTGGACTGACCCTGGATGGAAATCTTGCTTAGAATTTGAAGTAAATTGTTATTGAGTAAAAATAAATTCCCAAGAAAAGAAATTTAGGACAGGAGATTAGTTAGATTTTTTTTCAGGGGGGATTTCTCTTTCATATTTTTGTACTGGGCTGGACTTCCATTGAAGTACATAATGTACATACATAAAGGATAATAAAAGTAATTCAACAGATCAGGAAAACAGGTGATCCACTGTGTCTTGTCTATGCCACCTGAAGGAGAAACCACAGGGCCTGTTGGGTGCCAGATGCAACCTAAAGCAGCATGAATTGATCACTAGTAGTTTTTATCTCATGGGAGAATTTATCCAGGGGGACTTTATGCTTGACTATCACATGTAGTAGAATCTGTCACATGTGGTAGAATCCATTTATGTCTCCTAATACCCATTTTCCTGTTTTCCTTGTACCAGAGCTCCCAGCTGTCAATTCAGTATGTCATTGCACAGAATAAAGTCTGTTTCTCAGCCTTAACTCTGGTAGGTATAGCCACTTGACCAAACCATGGGTAATGGGATGAAAGTAGAGGTGGTGTTCTTTAAAGTGACAGGGTATTACTTTCCTGATGGCTGAAATGTGTTGTGATGGTTGGAGCCACAGCAGCCACATTGGGTGATGAGGTGAAAGATACATCATGAGGAGGGTTGGAGAAATAAGACAGAGAGAGATGGGCCTCTCATCATTGTGGAGTGACCACAGCAGCCTGGACTGCCTACCTAAAATTTCATAGAAAGAGAAATACAAATATTTTGTGTTCTCAGTTACCTGCAGCTGTACTTAGTCCCAATCAATAGAGATGCCTTGAGAAAACAGAAAGAAGATGGAATTTCTAATGATTCATTTTGTCATTATGTCATAATTTTTTTTTAAATCACCAATCAACACTCATTGAACGTTGTCTGAAGAACACTGCTGGGTAATCTGGTTTTATCTTTCAGGATGGAGCTGGATCAAGATACCATAAGCAAAGTTCAATTGTTAAAAAATCCTTCATGGAAATTGCTCCAGCACTATTGTATAAATGCAGCTGTATTTGGTCACAGCCATCGCTATTTCTAATATCCATTGTTTCCCTGGGAGCAGAGGTTGTGTTTATTCTGAATTTCCCTTTATGATTTAAGAACACAAAGTCAAAATCCTCTGCCTCCATTTAAGCCTGATGTTTGATACAAAACATGCGAAACCTGTGGACACTGCATTAATGGCTGTGGCATTGTAAGGCCAGGCTGCATCTGCTCCCTCTGTGCTGTTCTGATGAAGGATCACTTTCCTGGTTTGAGGTTGAGGATCAGCAGGTTCTTTTCCCTTGAGCTCCCTACACAGTGTCACAGATCCACAGGGTCTAGATAAAACAGAGATTTTGTGCCGCCGCTTGTTCAATCTGGCCCTGGAGGGAAGATGGAGGGGGGCATCCACGGGCCAAAGAATTTCTCACCACTCCTGGCGGTGTTCAGGGGTGTGGGATGGAGTGGGAAGGGGACATTCTCTAGCAGCCCCAATGCCTCAGAAGACTGGATGAGGGACAGAACTTTAGTCAGCAGGTCTCAACAGATCTGACAGCATGTGCCCTGTGACCCAAGCTCTCTCAGGAACAGCATCAGGCCCTTACAGAGACTTAGTACAGGGCCTGTCAGGACTGCTGGGTCCAGCCCAGCCCTGAGGGAGAGCTCCATGCAGATAGGGGCCTGGCAGCCTGATGTCATCCAGAGTAATGAGGTGGGGCTGTACAACACGATGAGGGTGGCAAGACATTCATGGATGGGTGCTTCCTGGCAGAAATCACCATCCCGTCCTTTTTAGACATAGCTAACAGCCAATGGCCTACTTATTTTCCAAACTAGCCATAGCACCGGAATGCAGATTGCAGTATTGAGACAGGAAGGAAGGGGGCAGGACATAGCCATTCAAGGAATGAAGCAGCAATTAGCACCAACATGGAAGAAAAGTCAACTCCCAGTATATCTTGGGCTTCATTATGCGCTCATTGTAAGATATTAGCATGGGAAATGACATTCCCACAGGCGCCTTGACAGTTTCAAGGCTGACCATAAAAGGTCAAAAAGTGGGCAGTAACCCAGTTCCTGGGAATCTCCATCCCTTCCCCTAAGTAGTTGGAATAATCCTGCCGCTTGTTAGCATATCAAGTTACCGAGCCCATAAAAACAAACCCGCACCTTGCGGCCTCTCCCTTCTGGGTGAGACAGCCCACACTGTCTATGGAGTATCTGCTTTTACTTTAAAACTACCACCCACCCTCACACCTCGTGGCCTCTCTGGCCTTCTGAGATGGACTGCACTTGGTCTATGGACTGTGCATCTCCCTGAATAAATCTACTTTCACCCTCCTGTGGCTCGTTCCAGGATCATCCCAGTATCCAAGACTCACTGTTCTGAGGTGGTTTTCTAAGGCTTCATTGAGGCCCAGGTGAGTTCTTTCTAAAGGCTTTCAAAGTCTCTAATTCCACACTCACAACAAAGCTGAGAATCAAGGGGGCCTCTGCTAAGGTGATGATGCCTGGTCCAGGAGGTGGGTATCACTCTCCAGGCTCAGGACAGTAAATAAGTTTGGGTTCACCTGCCAACAGTAAGGAGTGGCTATCGGTAGAGTTAGATAAAGCTTCTGAGGCTCAAGAGAAAAGGAGCATCATGATTGATTAGTAATGTCTGCAGTAGCTTAGGGGCAGGGAGGGGTGGAAGCAGACGAGTGGGATGGGGTAGCTGCATTACAAGTTCTGTCTTTCCTCAGTTCTTTCAGTTCATGCACATGCCTCCTATCCCCCATTTTCACATCTTTGAAATTGGGATGCCTCTTTTAATCACTGTGCCAGATTGTACTTTCCAAAAATGGACATAGTATTTCAGTCTCACATGCCCTTCCAGAACCTAACTTAAGCCCCCATCCAGAAGTGGAGTTTATGTCTCCTCCCTTGGAACTGGTGGAGACAGTTGTGGGGGGTCCGACCCCCTTAACTAATGTAATGGAGTGTGGCAGAAGTGATGCTAAATGAGTCATGATGCTAGGCCATTAAAAATGATACTGCTTCTACCTGGCCTTCTCTTTGGGGATGCTCGTTCTCGGAACCCAGCCACCATGTTGAGGACACCCCGGCCTGGGTGTCAGGCCTTGGCAGAGGTCTCAGCTGACAGCCAGCACCATCTTGCAAGCCCTGTGAGTGCCACCTTGGGAGCAGGTCCTCCAGCCCCAAGTAGGACAGACTGATTGACTTGCAAAGAGCACAGAAGAATCTCCCCTGCTGAGCCCTACCCAAACCACAGATTTCTAAGTGAAGTAAATGCTTTTACTGTTTTAAGATACTAAGTTTTGCACTGCTTTGTTACACAGCAACAGACAACTGAACCAAA